TGAAGCACTACAGTCGTGTTCCCCACTTTGTCATGGTTAACCCTATTCTTTCTCTTGAATTATATGTTCTTCTCTCTCTCTCTCTCTCTCTCTCTCTCTCTCTCATGCATGGACACTCTGCGGGAGTTCCCAGCCATGGCCGACAGGAGCATGGCGTCGGTGCTGGCCTGGCTCAGCTCACATGACATGAACCCACCTCTTCCCACGCCTCATTCTCCCCTCCATTGCACCCATTAACGCATTAACCAGTCTTCTCCCATGCCGACCAACTACATCATCAGCTACTCTCAATATATACATCTAGTTTGTTCTCAATCAACAAGATGTCAATAATAAAAGATAACAGGTAGTTGATCCTATAAGTTTATCTCCTCGTCAACCTTTGACACCTTTCATGAGGGTGGATGCGTGTTTGATGAGGAGTATACTGCATCACGTTGGTGTGTACACTGTATATGGTGTGCTTTGATTGTACGTACATGCATGTATTCGCTGTATTTGGCCATATCTATCAATGGGTTTATTTGAATTTTGTTTGATTAAAAAAAATTACTTATATCTAATGATATTTTGTATGATATGTGATGATACAAAGGTCAAGATATTGTAGAGCATTGCATCACATTCTTCACATTTATAGCTTTGCAAAGATCTTTTAAGTTTGGGTGATACTTGTGGATTCAGTAAGGTTTATGGTAATGTGAATATTAAGGATTTGTCATAGTTTAAATTTGTTACATTTTAAATGTATTATCATGTGATATTCAGGCTTGAATGTATTATTTGATTATGTTGAAGGTATAAGAATTGGTGAAGATTTAGTGATTCGTATATGATCAGATTAATGCAATTCGATATTACTTAAGTTCGATAAGAGGATAAAGGCATTATTTGTGATGTGAAGGGTGTTGCTTCATCAAACATTATAAAGTTAGTAGAGAGGTAGATAAAAAGGTTGCAAATGAAATGAGATATTAGTAAACTAAAGTAATAAGAGAGGAGAACTATTAGTTGATATGAAGGGAAATACATTTAAAGGGGGTTTGAGATATACTCCTAAACCTAGTTAATGACCTAGTTAATGGATGATTATTATAGTGGTTCATATCGAAGTAAGATTTTGAAAATGAAACATGGATTTAACAAGAATAGCATGACATGATACAAACACCTTTTGAACTTAATGCTCATAACATCGAAAATTATTATATTCAAAGAAATACCTTATACAGATGCAAGGACCATATTGAAATTGTGTTAAACTTAGGAGCGTAATAAGAGCTAACATAAATAATCAAATATTTTGAATCTTTAAATATTTAAAATTTTATAAAATAATCTTTCAAATAATGACTGTTGTATTATTGGAATGAGCATGATAAATCAAAATTTAAAAAATAATTAATTAAAAAGTTAATGATATGAAAGCTTAGTGTAAAAGGATGGAACCAATTTTAGTTATTTATTAGTATTTTCGATCGACAGAACCAACTAGTTGAAACATGTACAATGGTGATTTTAAATATTTTATACCATAAGTTTATTATGATATTCACTTTCTCCATCAATATAAATTATTTTAATAATAGATTAAAAAAATTTCGATCATTTTTCTAAAATGTTATATCCAAAATAAAGACTATGTTTGCTTCAGAAAATAATAAAAAAATAAAATTATCAATGAAAGCGATATCCAAAATTATCAAATGATATAATATTATCTGGTGTTCCAATTAATTATTTGGCAGGTCAACCGCATAAGTCCAGTCAACCATAAGCACGTCTGGTCAACATGACAGCAACTGTCATGAAGCTGATGATTTCTCTGCGGTGGTCATCAAAACCCTAATCCACTGTAGCAGGGAACAAACAGTAATGGGCATGCAGGGCAACCTTGTCGCACAAAGTAAACTGGTCTCTTAGATCGAAGGATTGAAACCTTATATTCTCTCTATTGTGGGCTGTCAAAACAATGACGATAACATGAGCTGTAGAGCATATATATATATATATATATATATAATGTTGGTTTACTTAGCAGTGTTTGTGATGGTAATTTTGATCATGGGCGTCATTTCATGTCGACATGACGCATGTGCAGTTCAAGCGAGGTGGGAGCGAAACAGTAAAATAATACGGAGGACGTCACCGGGAAGAGCGAGGATGGCTGGGCTTAAGTAGAGGTGGCGGAGGTATTTATGGAGGGCTTAATTGGCTACCGTGGACTCCCCTCACGCACCGGAAGCTGGTACAATCTCCGGCGAAAATTGATCGGGCTTGTCGGGGAGAGAGAGAGAGAGAGAGAGAGAGGA